TGTAATATTTTTTTAGTATCAAAAATGTAGTCTTACTAAAAAAGTTAAAAAATTTGATTTAGGAAAGAAAAATTACCCAGAATGATTTCTGAGGTACAATAGTGGTACAACTAATAACCAAAAAATTATTGAATAATATTGTTAAAAATCAAAAAAGTTTAAAAAAATTAGAAATACCCATTTWAACAACTTTTCCATTTTTTTAGATCCTAATATGTATATAATTTTGTAGGGGCTATTTTTGATTATTTTAATATTATAGGTAACACACATTTTTGAATTTTAAATTGCATTGGGTATTTTGATTTTGTGGAATTTGAATTTAATTCTATGTAATATTTTTATTCACAGTATTATGTCAAGTTTGAGTTTTTATGGAAAGTGTCAGCCTAAAAAAATACAAATCTGAGCTTAAATTTTTTAGGATAAAATTACAGACAAAAAGATTAAGAAAACAGATATTTTAACTAAAATATATCTAAATATTAATTAAGAACTTAAAATTACTACACTATTTTTTGTAAGTCTGCAACAGAGTTTGTGAACCATTTGAATACCAACAACCCAAAGAACTATTTTTTAACTCAAACTAAATATAAAAATATAATGAATTATATTTAGTATATGAATATTTCAAATAAAACATTAAATTTATTTTAAACTTCTATACAAAAAAAAGTGAAAAAATTATATCAGATTTTAATGCTTACAATTATAATACACTAAATCCAAATTTATGTTTAACACCTTTTTACATAATACATCAAAAGAAACAATAATAATTGATTGAAGGTCGCTCATAAACTGAATTGTATRAAATAATTAACTAAGCTATTCAAATTCATTAACTCTATAAAATACATTCTTTAAGGATGTAAGGAAATAAAAATATATCACGTTAAATATTAAATACAAAAAATAGTTTTAAAATAATATATTCCACATAATTCTTTTAAATACAATACTACAAAAAGAAAAACTACCATGAAAAAATAATAATATACTATAAAAAAATTATTTTTCTGTTTAATGGACAATCTCATCATACATTATTAAAAAAATTACAATTCATTATATAAAAAAAAAAAATGTATGTATGTATAAATAATACAAGATACATAAACAAATTAAATATATAAATCAATAAGCTTAAAAAAAGGATAAATAAATGTATATAAAATCACATTGATGTATTTTTATCTATGTTAAGGATCTTCGCAAAGAATAAGAACATTGATAATAAAATATCATCGAAAT